GTGTGACCCTCCTTAGGCACACTCTACGTCATCGATCACTTTCCTCTTTGGCCCCATAATCTTCTTGATCAGAAAATTTGGGACACTACCGAGGTACATGACGTTACAGTACAAGTTCTCATATGTCCTGAGTCTTAATTGACCTTAGAAGGCTAGGGCCAAAATGTTGTAAGAATAAGTTTTATAAGGCATTTGTATTCATTTGAATCAAAATTTTAAGGGTTACAAAGAATATTAAAATAAACTATTATGTTTTTTCATTTTCTAAATTTGTACCTTTTTCCTCCAGAACTCTTTACATTTAAATGAGATTTTTTTTTTTAATTTAGCTTAATGTTATCTAAGCATGGTGGCACATGCCTATAATCCCAGCACTTTGGAAGCTGAAACAGGAGGAACACTAGGAGTTAGATGCCAACCTATTCTACATAGTGAATTCAAGGCCAGGCTAGATTATATAGTGAGAGCTTGTGTCAAACAAACTGGCAAGTACTTCTCTTAATGTTGACTGAAAGAAATCAGACACACAAGCTTAAATATTGCATTGTTTCTCTACTTGAGAATCCCAAAATATAAATAAAAGATAGCAAGATGTAGCAAAACATGGGCCAGGGAGAGAGATAGCTCAATAGCTTAAGCATCTGCCTGGAAAGCACAAGGTCCTGATTTTGATCACCAGTACTCACCCCCCCCCCCAAAAAAAAATGAAGAAATAGGAAGACAGATCTTTTTCATAGAGGAATGGATCAGGAGATGGAGGGAGCACAGAGGGAGCAAAGGAACAGAGGATGAAAAAAACTTAAAATGTATTATATGAAATGTACTAATGCCCCACAAAAAATGTAAACATGTACTACAAGCAAGTCCTAATAAAAATACAGAATCATGACTAGTGCTTTACTTTTTAAACTAAATTGAATGCCTGTTTTTCTTTCTTTAAAATAAAAAAATAAAGTCTAATAGCATCTCTTACCGGAAAACCACTTTTCAAATGTGAAGTATCAAATATTCTAATAAATGTCAAATATCATACAGTCACCATGAAATAACTTCTGTTTTATGGTGCTAAAATTGTGTTGTGATCCAGTGAGATAGCTTAGCAGACTAAGTACTTGTTTAGGCAAGCACAGGGACTGGGATTTAATCCCAGCACCACATGCCTTGTTGGCCCTGCCCATTCCCTAGCATGCTGAGCTGGCCACCTAGACCGGGTGTGGTGGGGCATGCCTGTAATCCTAGCTATTGAGGGGCTTAAAACAGGAGGATCACTATGAGTCTGATCTGCATAGTGAGACTCTGTCCCAAATACATTTTTGAAAAAAAATATGTTTCAAAGCTGTCTGTGGTGATATTTTTAAATTACTGTGTAAAGCTGCCTGACCCTCCAAACTTTTGTAAAGAGAAGTATGGATAAATGTTTTACCCATGAGTTTGTTTAGAATCTTTTTCTAGTTGCTTGTTGCTTAGTTAATGGGAAGTAAGTGGCTTCAGTCAAATCATTAATCCCACCATAGCATGTTTTAGTTTTCAATTAGTTGGTTTCAATTTCATTTTTAAGGTTGTGATAAAAGCTAAATTTCAAGGATGTCAGAAGTATGTATTTTAAAGTAGCTTCATGTAATATTTTTTTTTAAACTAAATCTCAGCATCTTACAGATTTTTAGGAAAAAATTCTGCTTTCATGACAAATCTAATGAAGCATATGTGTGTAAGAAAAGAACGTACAGAACATACATATAGAAAGGTTACTGCTTGCTGCCTAGCACATGAGGAATGAGTTTATTTTATTTTATTTTATTTTTATATTTAGTATAGGGTCTCACTATACAGATGGGACTCATAGTGATCCTCCTGTGCTCAGTCTTTCAAGCGCGGGGATTACTGGTGTATCACACACAGTCTCAATCGCTGTTTCAGTACACCCTGAGGGCGGGGCTGGCACAGCATGCCAGGGATCAAACCCCAGTTCCTGCGCCAGCCTAAGCAGGCACTTTAGTCTGCTGAGCTATCTGGCTGGCCCCAGAATGAGTTTGTATTTTGGCAAGGGCACCAAAAAACCAGTGAGACCAAATTCCTTGTGTATCATGCTGTTGTTTTTGTTCAGATGCTTATCCTGATCAGCTGGCAATAAGGAATTTTGACATTTTTAGTCTTTTCAAATGTTCATGAAAATATAGAAAGGTATGATACAGGCTCTTACGTTTCTTATGGCAAGGTCTGTTTTTTTTCTGTGTGTGTGATGATCTTTATCAAAAACTAAGTGATACCTGCTTTTTAATATTGAATAAGGGCTGAGGAGATAGCTTATTGGCATAAGTGTGTGCTTGACAAGTGCAAGGTCCTGAGTTCAATTCTCAGTACCAAAAACAAACAAAATATTGAATGAGACACTAAGTTGTCAGGCCTCTGGCAGGGCTTACAGGTACAGCTCATACCTTGTTAGCTGCCTCAAGATGTTCCCAAGAGACTGAGAAGTGGGCACATATACATAATCACTGTGTAAGGCATAAAGTATTAAATAAATGTAGGTGAATTCTCTGCTAATACTAAAAATTTATAAGTGAATGAACTTGAATTTTAGGGTCAGAGAATGATCCATCAACAGGATATGTAAAACATGGTTTACTTAAGTTGTAATATTTTTTTCCACTGCCTTGTGTTATAGTCAGGGGTTTACAAGAATACAGGACACAAAATTTATAGGATTATTTTATAATAGTCACCTCAAGAGTCATACGCAAAGATAGTGCTAGAAATCTGTCCACATACTAAACACCAAAGAAACCAGCTGCAGCCTGGATCCCACAGCAATGTCTTCACGTTTCCACCTGAAGACCTAGAGCCCATAACAGTGCCACCTACAAGTCCAGCTGGAGGCCAAGAGCCTGTGACAATGTCTCAGGCAAGCCTCTTTCAAGGATCTGCACTGGGAAAGCCTATAGAACAGTGGTGGAAACTAGAGAATATATGGCAGTGGGATGAAGGATCTGTGCTACGAGGCTGAAGGTTCTGCACGGGAGCCAGGAAGCAATGCTTGAAGTAATGCTCAGAGCAGCCCCCAAAAGTACCACAGCCATCCTCAGCAACAGTGAGGTCCCAAACTCCTATAATGATAAAAACAGCCAAGTCTGTATCAGGGAAGCCAGGACAGCAAACTTTTCCAGGAGATTGAGCAGTGCACCATCTTCCCCTTCTGAGCCTGGAAGTGGTGCTCAAAGTAAGGACCAGAGCTTCCCCAAAATGATCCGTAGCCATTCTCAGTGACAACAAGGTCCCGAGCTCCTTTGACTATGACAACAACCACATTCATATCAGGAAAACTAGGGTGACAAGGTTCTCCAAGAGAACCAACAGCTCCCAACAGCTTCTCTTCTCTAGATCTGCCTCCTATACTGCCATCAACCTTCCACACCCAGCACCATGCTGGTTCAGTTCAACTGAGTGTTACAAGTGGCCCACCAGTTGTCACTCGACCACTTTCTTTTTGCCTGATAGGGAGAATCTGCTGCTTGAGTATCTCGTACAAAACACTAACAGAGGGCAGTCATAAAATTAGGTAGATTGGTGAGTGGGAGGATTGTGAGTCACAGGACTATTAGAGATAGAAGTTGGAGGTTCTGTGGGGTAGATCAATAAATTTGTGTGTGTGTGTGTGTGTGTGTGTGTGTGTTTTGTTTTTAAAAGAAAATATAAGGTCTGGTCAAATAGCTCAGCAGATTAAAGTGCCTGCAAGCAGGCATCGGGGCTGGGAGTTAGATCCTCGGGCCTGCCATGCTGTCCCTGCCCCTGGGGCACACTGAGATGGCAATTGAGACTGGGCATGGTGGTGTGAGCCTGTAATCCCAGTGCTTGTGAGGCTGTAAACAAGAGAATCACTAAGAATCCGACCTAGTAGCGAGACCCTGAACACCCTGTAGTCCTTTTCCTAAAATACAGAATAAAGAAAAAAAGAAAGAACAAAAAATAGCAAAATACTCTCAAAACAAAACAAAACAAAAAACCCCAAAACATTAGAAATGATACAGAATTTATTTCACTAAACAAAATGATAGGAATTCAAAAATGGTTGTTATATTGTGTGTTGCTGTCTTCAAATTAGTTTTTCAGATCACCAGATATAATAAGCCTGTAAGATTGGTTAAAAAAAAAAATTGTAAGAAATTAAAAAGGAGAAAAAAATTTCAGCATTAACTGCTCCTTTCAATAGACCAGCAGAAATCAGCAGTGCACTGATCCATGCTATCCTATGTATACGCATACATATTTCTGTCTCTGTCTCTCTGTCTGTCTCTCTCCCTCTCTCCCTCTCTCCTCCTTTCCCTCATCTCAGTTGTTCCTTTCCTTGGAAGAGTTTCCATTGTGCCTTTCAGATCATATTTACTCTTTCAGATTCTTGCACTAGTGAGACAATATGATGTTTATACGTAATCATGTGTGTCTGATTTTTTCACTTATGAGTATTGATTTTAGTTGCATCCAGTTACCTATGCAAGCCCTTTCTTCTTATATCCTGTTTTTGCCACTCTAGTTTTCTGTGTTTTTTGTTCTATGTAACAGATACCATTTATCCTCATGAATATTATGAGCCTACTTATTTCATTGATAAAGTTTTTGAGATAGCTATAAAAGATTTCTTCATATAGTTAGAAATCTTAGCTCCTTGCTTCTTGGGCTCCAGAGGTACACCAAGTTGAGCTCAACAATTACATATTTGTGTGACTTTGACTTTTTTTTCAGAGTAGTATAGAATTATAAACTGAATTAGTAATATTACCTTGGTCAGATCCCTTAAATCTGCTTCCTTACTTGCAAAATGAAGGTAGTACTATCATTTTTGCTGTTGTCACTATGTTGTTGGAATAATAATAGGTTAAGAAAGCTTGCGTCAATGCTTAAGTTATGTGTAAATACATGGCAGTCGTGTTATTCATAGTATTCTTCTTCTTATTTTTAGTCTCCCCAGAAGAGGATACACTCATTTACTTATAATATTTCTCCAGGCAGAGTCACTCCAGGGCAGCTCACATCCTATATTCAACTCTTCAAGAACAACCTCAAAGCTCTAAGGAATCACTGTGGGATCCTCCAGCTTGGGTTAGCCACAGTTCAAACTCTGAAGCACCCGCAGACTGCTAAGTGGGACAACTTTCTGGCATTTGAAAGGCTCCTTCTTCAGGTATGTGGCTATATTGTTGTGTATTAATAATCACAGTTTTGAATGCCAGGGAAAAACATTGATATTCATTATAATCTTTTTGGGGCCGGGGAGATGGCTCAGTAGAATAAGCACTTGCCTGGCAAACATTATAATCTTTTTTTTTTTTGTATGTTAGGGAATGGTGTTCAGGTTCTCACTACTAGATCGGATTTGTAGTAATTCTTCTGTTCATAGCTTCCAAGCACTGGGATTACAGGCGTGTGCAACCACGCCCAATCTCAATTTCCATCTCAGCGTGCTATGGGGGCGGGGCCCGCATGGCAGGCCAAGGGATCAAACCCCTGGCCCCTGCGCCTGCTTGCAGGCACTTTAATCTGCTCAGCTATTTGACTGGCCCTTATTATAGTCTTAACAGTAAATCATATTGTTGAAATGTGATCTATGTTGACTTCTCTAAGTGCAGCCATTTAAAATTAAAGTACATAAGGACATTTTCCATACCCATTAAAAATTTGTTTTTGACAGTGATACTTTTGAAACTTGATGAAATGTTAATTCTAAGTCATTTTATATTTATCATTTATAATTTTAGAATCTCTTATTGCACAATTTTAGACTGTTAGACTATAACGTAGATATAATGATAGTATTTGATATGGTTCCTTCACCAAATGGAATTTAAAAAATTAGGGGAAAGAAGTAAATATTTAAAATGTGAAAATTCTAATATTGTTATTACTGTGTATCACCCTGGCTCACACTGGTCTTAGTCATTTCTAGGTCCTTTGCAAGTTAATGTTTTAGCATAGGCTAACTTATAGGCTGGTTGTTGTAACTGTGCTTTGTGTATAATGATGTTT